CACGCCATTCTCCTGCCTCGGCCTCCCGAGTAGCTGGGACTACAGGCGCCCGCCACCTCGCCCGGCTAGTTTTTTGTATTTTTTAGTAGAGACGGGGTGTCACCGTGTCAGCCAGGACTCGCCTGCTTTTCACTCACACATAAAGACTGAGCAGTTGCCTGAGCTCTTACGCTCTGTGGCACAATGTGAAACCGCTGTTTATGGGGGTCAGATATGATCAAAGAACAGCAATTTCGTGTTTCACGTTAATATCAGAAATATTCCAGCAACATTGATCAGAGCCCTAAACTAGTAAGAGTGAACCCAGAAAAGTTTGTCAGCCTCTTTGTGAAAGATCTATTTTTTAGATCCCAAGAGTCTTAACATATACAAATTCAAAAGCTATGAGAAGAAACCGACATTGTTAGAAGTGGCTTAGATGAGATCTGTTTTGTTTGCTGTGGACACTGACTATGTCCATGTCTGTACACGTGCACTCTTAATTCAAGCCCACCAAAATGGTAGCCCTGAAGTTAGCGATAACCTCTCCCTGAATCTGAGGGAGGAAAAGCGTGGAAAAGTTGCCCTCTGCCATCACGAAGCTGTCAATGTTCTGGAGCTGTGATGATATTTATTACTGTATCAGTGAAGTTTTGAAGTGTGAGTAGCTTTGGCGTATAAGAAATACCTCATTTCTTCTTTTTAAATCTACTTAATATGAACTATAAACCCCCCTTCTACAAGGCTGAGGGGAAATTGAGACTCACTTTTCACTGGGCACCCCTCCCTCCCCGTCTCCAGTATTGTGCAAAGAGGGGCCTGGAACCTACTGTAATGCCTAGGATTGGGGGAACACACACTGGTTATTGTTCCTTTGGTTGCCCCAGCACTGCCAAAACTCTCACACCCGCCCCGTGACCCCTCCAGGCAAAAAGATCTGCTGCTCTGTGCCAGCTGTGAGTGACGAATCTTTATCATGGCGGGGAGCCTGTTCTTGGGGTGCTGATGGTGTAGGGCATGGGCCCCCTTTGATTGTGGACCCCATGGTCATTTCCCTCCCAACTTAGGTGAATCCTGCACTGCTGCTCCATCTGCAGGGGCCTGTAATGTAAACATCCCCAGAGGCAATAGGCAGAAAATAGGCCACTCTTGGAAAGAAAACTGAGAGACCAAGTCACTAAATATCTATGACTATATTATCTTGCCATAGGAACTTGTAAGAGTAGCAAAAGTCATGCCAAAGAAGCACTGGGTCTTCATAGTCACTAGCCACATGTGGCCATTTACATTTAAATTAATTAAAATTAAAATTAAAAATTCAGTTTCTCAGTCAACTGGTCACATTTCAAGCAGTTAGTTGCCACACGTAACCATCGTGTGGGACAAGGTAGATAAGGAGCATCTCCGTCATCACAGGCGGTTCTGTTGCATGGCACTGGTCTGTAACGAGCCTCACGTGTCTCCAGTAGCAGTTAAGGGTGGCCCCACTATTCTTATTTTCTTGCTCGGCTTGGCCTTAGCAATTTAGAAAGCAGAATGACGTAAGTGGAAAGCCGGGGGGAAGTGGTGACTACAGTGAGTCACGTTGTTTCTCAAGGGACCAGTTCTGTGGGTAGGGTTGGTGGAGCCTTGCCCATCTCACGTGTGGTCCCAAGTGTCACTGAGACGCTCGGACAATCCACTGGGTCTAAGAATCCCTGTTTCTTTAAATGGGTTTGGGTTTTATCTCATGGAATGGAATCTTGGACTTAAGCACATGACTCTATTTTTTTGGTAGGGCTTCATTTCCTTTGGCGGAAGTGCCAAGAAGGGGAGTGTGGAAGAGGCACGACTGGTTTGGTTCTGCTAACTGTGATGTGTGATGTGCACATTTGGTGGCAGGCAGACAGTTGGCCAGGACAAGGCTGCCCCGGGGAAGGAGTGAGCCTGTGAGCAAATTGAAGACAGATGAAAAGGGGCACAGTGGAAAATCATACAGTTTCCTGCCATCTGTATGTACCAGTACCGGCGAGACAGCAAAGAGCCACACCAGTTCAGCTCAGTAAATAGGTCGTTACATATCAGACGTTGTATAGACAGGATATGAAAATGGGCTGAGACTCGGCCCCTGCCTGCAGCCAGCTCTCCATCTGAGAACCCTCTCAGTAGAGGCTTATTGGAATTCTCCTTATTTCCCTTGGCCTGCTCACTCCAAAAAGATACTCCCTACTTCTCTATTAATTTCAGTCCTAAGTAACATTCTCCATCTGGCAAAATGGAAACAAGGAAGGAGAAAATGATCTGGGAGTTGGCAATTTGGAGACCATGCTCGCTGGGTTTGGCTTTGGAAAAGTAGGAAGGCCGTGGAACTGAGCTGCTGGTCCTTGAATGAAAAGGAAGACACTGCTATTTTTGTCCTGCTCTGCATGTGGTCAGCCCCCTCCCTCCCTGCCCACCACAGGTATTTTTGCCTTATTGCCTTGTTCACGTTTTTGCTTTGTAGGCGCTTCCCTATGCCAGTGCTCCGATGCATTCATCATCTCCATCCGTAACTGCTTTAAGAAGCCTTTTAAGAATTGCCCTGGGTTGCCTGCGTAGCAGGTGCAGCAGTAGGGCAGACGGTCTTGTGGGTGTGAACAGAGTAGGTTGTTGGCTTTCGTCTGCATGACTTTAGTGTCGATTCTGAATGGGACTCCAGAGATGTTTTGAGGGTGGCACTACCGTGGCCTCCCAGGAAGCCTGCTGTGGAAATGCAGCACTTACTGGGCACAGAAGGTCATGGGCATTTCTGTTAATCAGACTCCACATTACAGGTAGGATAAGGGAGCCGGCTCATTCATGTAATGCCCACAGACTAGGATGATGGCTTAACAGAGTCAGAGCATCCCTGCTTTTTTTCTACATTTGAGGATAGTTTTTTTTCCCTTCTCTTCTCGGCACTCGCTTGGCTCCCTCCTCTCTTCTTACCTGATGACTTTGTCTTTGGCTGGGAGCAATTTGCCCCTGCCTTATATTCATTCTTGCATAGGTTGTAGGAGATCGGCCCCTGAATGTGGTCCCTCCATCCAGGCCACACAGCAAGTATGCTGTGGGTCTGAGGTGGCTTTCACTCACAGGCAGTGGGTGTCAGAGAGAACACGAAGACCTGGTCATTCTCAAACATGGCTGCAGTTTAGAATCGCCTGGGGAGTGTTTAGGACTCCCGATGTCCAGGTCACACCCCATGCCAACTGTCTGGGGGTGGGAGCCAGATAACAGTTTGTCAGAGATCCCCAGGCGATTCTAATATGTGGCAAATTTTAAAAATTACCGTAGGGGAAGGGTGTGGTCCTTTGGGATGTGAGCAGTTACACCTGAGCATAGTCACAGCGAGTCCGTCTGGCATCTCCACGGCAGTGTGATGTACTAGAAATGACACTGGATGAACTCTGCAGCCCGCCATCCCAGTGACCTTGGCAATCTCACAAGGGCCTCAGTTTCCTCCTCTGTAAATTGGATCAAAATAGTAGTACCTTTCTCATAGCGTCTTCTTAAAGAACCAAAGAAATGATGTGTGAGTCTTAGGAAATAGTAAAGTGCTAAATAAATGCTTGTTTGGCCAGGCATGGTAGCTCACACCTCTAATCGCAGCACTTTAGAGGCCAAGACCGGAGGATGGCGCATGTCCAAGAGTTTGAGGCTACAGTGAGCCATGATCACACCACTGTACTCCATCCTGAGCAACAGAGCAAGACTTCATCCCTGAATGAATGAATGAATGAATGAATGAATGAATGAATGAATGAATACTTGTTATTACTAGAGATTATTCTTATATTAAAAGATACTCATTTTCTAGGTGGTCTGGCAAAGTAGTAGAGGTGACTACTGTGGCATTAATTCTTTCATCACCAACAATACACCCAGTAGGTGTTTATGATAAGAATTCATTTCTCCTAAGAAAGGGGAGCAGCAAGGAGAGGTGGTCTCACACAACATTAGAAAGAACCCAGGCCGGGTGCTGTGGCTCACGCCTGTAATCCCAGCACTTTGGGAGGCCGAGGTGGGTGGATCACCTGAGGTCAGGAGTTTGAGACCATCCTGACCAACATAGTGAAACCCCTGTCTCTACTAAAAATACAAAAAAGTAGCCGGGCATGGTGGTGTGCGCCTGTAATCCCAGCTACTCAAAAGGCTGAGGCAGAAGAATCGCTTGAACCCGGGAGGCAGAAGTTGCAGTGAGCCGAGATCGTGCCATTGCACTCCAGCCTGGGCAACAAGAGTGAAATTCCGTCTCAAAACAAAACAAACAAAAAACAGAAAGAAAGAAGCCAGCAGCTAGATTCCAGCAAACTGTGGTCCCACGATGCTCAGGGAATGCTCTCTGGCCTCATGTTCACTGGCCGTCTCTAGGAACATAAGGGGCCTCGTGGAAGAGGGAGGGATGTCTGTAAACCATTAGCTTCATCTTCAGGCTTTCTGTTCAGTTGGATTTCATTTACGTCAAAGCGGTTGCAACAAGGCATCACTGGCAAGCCCCCGAGGAGGAAAAAAGGGCTGTCCCATCACCAGGGCTCACCTGGTCATTTTCATCGGTGTGACCGTGTTGTCTCATGCAGTAAGCATCCTCATGGCTCTTTGGGGTGCACACAAAAGCATTTTTTTCCCTCTGGCTTGTCCTCCCAGGGACTTGAAGTTGGACGGAGGAAGACAATCAGCTGGCGCAGTGAGTTTGAAAGAGATCATTGGTCTGGAAGGTGTGGAGCTGGGTGCTGACGGGAAGGTAAGGCTGCCAGGCTGCCGGTCACCGAGTTGTGCTGAAGGCACAGGGGTCAGGAAGCAGAGGACGGGGACAGCCCACAAGCCTCTCTCAAGGTGAAGGACTCAAGGTCTGGGGCAGATTCCCAGGCATGGGATGCCAGTCTGCCCGGCTCCCCTAGTGTGCAGCCGGTGACGGAGTAGCAGCACGGCAGGAGTTCCCACAGCACGTGTATTCCTCTGCCAGCGCTGTTTACAACTGAACGTGCAGTTATGAGTACCTCACACACAGGCATGTTCCGGGGTGGAATGACGAGTGGATTGAGCATCTATGAACTGGTGGTGTCAGCAAGCAGTATTCAGGCCACTAGAAAGTGTCATAGCTTCCCATGAGTCCCTCAGTCTTACACTGTGACCACGGGGCAGCAGGGCGGTCACATTCCTCTTCCGTCCATATGCAACAAGCCGTGGGGTTGAAGTCTCAGGAGTGAAAGGCTGAAGATGACCCTCCCCTTTGTGCAGGGTCCAGACAGTCCTCATTAACCCTTCCAAAATCCGTGTATGGCAATGATACAAGTGTTCCTTGGGGAATGTGTCCCGGGGTAGTCTGTTTGCTGATGAGGCTGCTGGGAGCTCAAGGTGTAGATGGGGTGCATGCCAGATGCTTGCCTGGGCAGGTGAAAAGCAATGCATTTGCTCTGTTCACCCCTAACGAGGAAGTGTCGCCATAGGAGCCAGGGAGAATGGGATAGAATGGAGGGTCATATGCGGCGTCTGCCAGAGGAGCAGGGTGGGAGGCCACAACCCCCACCAGGGACTCGGGGCCTGAAGTGTTGTGGGATTCTGCACTTGATGGATTATCAAAAGCAATGCAGTGTGTGCCTCGTGGATTACACAACACCCCAGCAGGTTCTGAGATAGTACCTTATTGTCAAATACATTCATGTTTCTTCCATGTGATAGGAGTAGTCAGACCCGGTGGGTAAGTTAAAACTATGTGTAGCCTTAAGTCGTTCAGGTTGGGTGTTGGCACCAATGAGTACCAAAACAAATGTCATTTTTCAGATCTCATTGGATTTCAGAACTGCAAATAGGAGAAAGTGGACCTGAACGTGGGGTGACAACTGTAGCTTGATCAGAATGCAGAGCTAGCAATGCCTTGGAATAATCACTGGCCTGTTTTTGTCTTCACTTTTTAGACTGTTTCCTATACCCAATTTCTGTTACCCACAAATGCCTTTGGAGCCCGGAGAAATACCATAGACTCCACTTCCTCTTTCTCCCAGTTCCGTAACTTGAGCCACCGCAGCCTCTCCATAGGCCGGGCAAGCGGCACCCAGGGGAGCCTCGACACAGGTAACCTTGGCCTGGCTGGGTGTGGTAGCTCGTGGTGGGAGGTGTCTCTGTTTACATGGGGATTGGGTCTCCCTGTGATGCAGACTGGAAGACGGGGGCCTACAGGTGACGTGACTTTTAGGAAAGCCTGATCTCAGGCCATGCAGGCCCACAGTGAAGCCACAGGTGATTTCTCTCTAATCAGATGCCCCGGTCATTGACAGCCTGAACTTCCACGTGGAGAGACGCCAAGGCCATGCACACCATGCAGAGATGGCTGCGTCTCCCAGCTTCCTTGCCCACTCAGCTCCTCCCAACAATGACCAGGTTCTGTCCTATATTCTCATGGTGCTCAATTCGGACTTTTAAAACGAAAAATCTGGGCTCTGAAGTGCAGGTTCAGGTGTGAGAGTTTCCTCTGTGCCGGTCCTAGTGGGTGAGCCGACTTGGCGGCTGAAGGAAGATTTGCACACTTCTAGCTTTGCTGGTCAAACCTTTGTAAGAACTGGCACATGGAGAAGATGCTTTAGGAAGCAGTGCTGTTTCTACTCTCAGGGAAATTCCAGGTGAATGTGAAGTTCCCTAGGTCTGCCCAAGTGCTGAGTTCTGAAGCCCTGTCCTCGTGTTCCGGCCACCTCTGATCGTTCACAGCTGTGCCTTGGTGGCCACTCTGATTTGTATTCATACAGACACAGTAGCCTGCCTGGGAGTATTCACACCAAATCGTGCTGCACAGGCGTCTCCGAATTTGATCTGCAAGATTCCAAAATGCACCTCTTCGGGGCCACACTCTGAGAGTGTCCTCTGCCTCTTGCACACTGTGTAAAGGTTTTTGCTCTCCTGGCTCAGGGAGATTAATACATAATTTTCTAAAATGGAAAAAAACGTCAGTTTGTTTAGAATTTGGTGAACCCTTTGGAGAGGAGAATCCACTTAACTGGCACGCGGAGATGTCTAATAAAAGTCAGTGAGTGCGGTGACGTTGAGCTAAGTGCCCTAAAGCCAGCCTTTCTTCAGTGCAGCTATACTTGGCATTCTCCTGGCTGTCTCTGCTGGGGAGGGTCCGGAGCCGCTAATGATCATTTTGCATTTTGCATGTGATCTTCAGGTAGTGACCTGGGAGACTTCATGGACTATGACCCAAATCTCTTGGATGACCCCCAGTGGCCTTGTGGCAAGCACAAACGCGTTCTGATCTTCCCTTCCTACATGGTGAGTAGTGTGGAATGGAGGCTCGGTTTGCCACAGCCCCTCAGTTGCCCCAGCGTGGGTTGGAGGTGACTGGGGGCTTGTTCAAAGACTGTTCTGCCTGGGGGACCTTCCTGAGGAGCTCCCCGGTGTGGGTGCCCACGGCAGGACCAGTATTGCCTGCTGTCCAGAATCCTGCCGGCCACCTGGCCTGCAAGCACCACTTTCAGGATGCTTGTAAAGGCCGGGCTGCCGGCGTCCACAGAGTCACCAGCTCAGGTTGGAGGACCCTCTCTTCCGAAGGGGGATGTCCGAGCTTCTACCTCCACAGACCCCAGTGGAGAGGACCAGGCCCATCCCTGGGAGTGCTGAGTTCAAGCACAGCTCTGTTTGGAGTTCCTTGGAGGCTGCAGGCCTTCATGTGCACGCTGGGCAAACATTTGGCCCCAGGCTGGGGATGACAGAATTCTCTCCTGGGAAAGTGAAAGTAGGACACTGTGGGTGTTACATGCAGAACCTTTCTCTGCTGTTTTTATTTCATGGACTCTTCCTGTTTTTCCCTGTGTGTCATTTTGGTTTCTGCTCTCGGCTGACCACTGTTTCCCACCACCAAGGGCTGCCATCTCCTCTGCAGATACCAGAGGGGCCTGGCGGGGCCCTGGGTGCTTTCTCTGGGCCACTTGCCCTGACTCTTGCGGCAAGCAGAGCCCCGCCTGCTATGGGAGGAGGGGGAGCTGCACTTTTTCAGAGGAGTCGACTGGCCAGGCCTGCCATGCGCAGCATCAGGTGGGAGCCGTCCACCCAGAACACCCCCACCGCCTCCCTGCCTTTTGCATGTTCTGGCCCATGAGCCGGGCCTGGCAGGGCGAGCACAACCAAGCGCTTCCTCCTCTGGTTCCCTCCCTCCCGTGCTCCCAGCCTGAGCTGTTCTCAGGAGTCCCAGCCTCAGGAGTGAACCAGGAGGTTTTTTTTCTCCTCTAGGCTTTTGTATCTGCAGTAGCCAGAGTGAAAACCAATCCCCCGTACTCAAAGGGCACCCCCATCTTCATTCAGAACTTAGGGTTCTCCACTGTTTGTCAGAGAAACACCACGCAGAACTTGGGGCCTGGCCAGTTACTTTCAGCATTTATCCTCTTGTTCTTTGGCACGTCGTTCAGTGGTCACTCTCATATGCCACATGGCGTCAGAATGCATTTAGTCATTGGAGAATGCATTCAAGTCAAAGGCATTTAGTTTAAAATTGTCCCTACTCCTCACCCTCCCTCACTCGTGCCCCAACTCCTAACACAGAAAGCAAAACCAGCGCCACGTGTAGTTACTTGTCTTCCACTCTATGACCTGTTTATTTAAAAAAACAAGGCTTATTCATCTTTGGCAGAGGCTAGCACGTAATAAATGTTCAATAAATGGCCAGAATGATTGCCCTGATGTCAAGGGGGGAGCACCTTGTGTAAGAATAAGGATGCTTTATGTGGTTCACTGCCTTATTTATTAAAATTCACTTTATTTATTAAGCAACGTGGCCAGGAAACTGGCTCAGGGAGTCCAAGTGACGCTCTCCTAGTTGATAGACGGGAAATGGGGGATCAAGGGTAGAACTCGTGGCTCGGTGCTCGTTTCACGTTCCCCAGCTGTCTCTGAATCCCACATTCCTCAGCAGTCAGCCCCAGAACTGCCGACCTCGGGGTTGGACATGAAGATCATTCTTTGGGCCAACAGTGTAGCCGATTTCTAGGTAACCAAGAGAATAGGAAGGTGCATTATTTCTGATCGATGTTGGCGGGAGCTCTCCTACCAGACAGGTTATGCCTGGTGATAATGCCGACCTCTCCTTTTATAGGCCTAGTGTCAGGCTGGTGCCAGATCTGATCTTTTTTTATCTGATCTTTTTTTTCTTTTAATGATTTCATTGTGAGCCTTGAGGTTCCGGGCCACGGTATGTGTGTATGTGCATGTGCACGTACGCACATACAACTTTTCCTCCTTAGACTGTGCTAGAAGATTGCCAAGTCAGCATATATGTCCTGCCCTCCTCATTTGATATTCCCAAGTGGATCATTTGTCATTTCACCGCATTGGCTCTGCAGTCAGTGCTCCCAGGAATACTCCACGCTCTAGAGAATGGAATTGCACATGGACTGCGTTTTCCTGGTCGGCTCCTGGAGACCTACGTGTTTCCTCTTCTGGCCACAGATGTTGGTACTTTGATAAAGTGTGGGAAATCCACGTTTCAGCATTCTCGTCTAAGTTCTTGACAGTATGTTGTATGTTACAAAGGGCCTCAACCCAGCTGCCTGGAGACTACTTTCCTAGAAGCCGACATGGGTTACAGGCTGTTTCTCATACATTTGCATTGAACTTGTAGGAATCCGAGTGGGACAGTTGGGGCGGGGCGGGGGCTGGGTGTTTGCTTTATTTTTGTGTGTTGGGGAATAGGTATAGAATTCGCCTGTTGAACAAGTATTGATTGAGGCCTTTTTATGAGCCAGGCTTCCTTACCCAGTAGAGAACTAACTAGCCACAACCCCTGTTCTTCTCCACCTTGGAGTGAGTGGGGATGGCAGAGAGTAAACAGTAAACAAGGAGACAGATCACCATAATCATGAGGAAGGAACCATCTTAGAAAAGCAGCAGGAGACTAGGCATGGTGGCTCATGCCTGTAATCCCACAACTTTGGGAGGCCAAGGCGGGTGGATCACCTGAGGTCAGGAGTTTAAGACCAGCCTGGCCCACGTGGTGAAACACCATCTCTACTAAAAATACAAAAATTAGCCAGGTATGGTGGTGGGCGCCTGTAGTCCTAGCTACTGGGGATGCTGAGGTGGGAGAATCGCTTGAACCAGGAGGCAGAGGCTGCAGCGAGCCGAGATTGTGCCACTGCACTCCAGCCTGGGCAACAAAGCAAGACCCTGTCTCAAACAAAACAAAACAAAACAAACAAACGGCAGGAAATGATAGAAGGGTTGGAGGGTGGGCTCCAGGGGGTAGGCCTCAAGGAAGACTTCCGCCAGGAATGACATTGAAGCAAGCACTGAGGGCTAAGAGCAGGCGGCCCTGCCAGATTTTGGTGGGGAGAGCCCAGTAGAAAGACCCCAAGTATGAAGGGGGTTGGTTTTGCATAAAATAGATTTTTCTAACTGTAAAGGTCGTTGCCCTTCCCTCTACACACACACAGGCAGGAGGCAGAGCCCACAGATGATGATGCTGACAAACCCTCCCTCCCCACTGACTCGGACCCAGGCACAGGGAGCTGCCGCTGAAACAGGCACTGGCTCCGAAGGCCCTGGCTCCTCTGGCTCCCTCTTTGAGGGCCTGGGGCACATTTGGCCACTAGGCTGGTATGGGGATCTCTGCCCAGACAGAGGGCAGATTCCCTCCTGGGTGGGAATGCTTGGTGATTGGGGAAGGGGCAGGCTTGCTGGTCACAGGCCAATGATGTGGAGCTGCTCACCTCCCTTAGTATCAGCCTCCGAGGCCCTGGAGTCCTGCTGCCTGTCCCGTCTTCCTTGGGCCCCCAGGGCAGTCCAGTGTGGCCAGCCCAGCAGAGGCACCCACCTGAAATCCTGGGACTGTCCTCCACTGTTTTGGGATGTCCTGTGCCTGTGGAAATCAGGCTCTGAGATGCTCAAGTAGCCTCTGCTGAATCAAGCAGCTCTCAAAAGTGATGAGCTAATCCTCTCACCCATCAAATCCTGCTGCAACCGCTAAAAGGAGTAATTTACAGACAATCAAATGCACTTGTTTGTTTGAAGTGTGCATTTCCATGAATTTTGTAACCACCGCTCTGATCCAGATATAGAGTATTTCTGTCCCTGCAGAAAGTTCCCCTCCCCATCCCACTCTTCCCATCCCCTTCCTGCAGAGGCAATCACTGTTCTCACTTCTGTCACCATAGATCAGTTTCACCTATTCTGAAACTTCATGTGAATAGGATCATGGCATATACTTTTTTGGGGTCCATCTTCTTTCATACAACTTAACATGTGAGATTTCCCCATGTTATGTGTATCAGTAGATTTTTTTTAAAATTGCTGAGTGCAATGGATCACGCCTCTAAATCCCAACACTTTGGGAGGCCGAGGTGGGTGAGGTGGGTGGATCACTTGAGGTCAAGAGTTTGAGACCAGCCTGGTTAACGTGGTGAAATCCCGTCTCTACTAGAAATACAAAAATTAGCTGGGCATAGTGGCAGGCACCTGTAATCCCAGCTACCCCGCAGGCTGAGACAGGAGAATTGCTTAAACCCAGGAGGTGGAGGTTGCAGTGAGCCGAGATCGCACTATTCACTCCAGCCTGGGCGACAAGCGAAACTACGTCTCAAAAAAAGAAAAATAAAAAAGCTGAGTGGTATAGATGTAGTATAGTTTGTTTATCCCTTCTCCTGTTGATCGACATTTGTTCATGCAGCTTCCATGAATGTTCTTGTGCATGTCTTTCTGTGGAAATACTTTTTCATTTCCCTTGGGGTAAATACGTAGGAGCGGGATTTCTGAGTCCTAGTGTAGGTGCTGTTAGCCAGTCATGATGTAGCTGAATGTTTATCTCTGTGCGTGTGTGTCCTCAGTGTAATATAAAAAGGCCCCTTGTCGCCACAGTCAGGACATGTCTTAGAGTGAGAAGCTTCCAGAGGTAAAGCCTGTCATTTAGAGTGCAAGTGGCACCCTTTTCAAATTAGTCTTGCACCCATATCTGTATTTTTAAACTTTGATCCATGCAAGTCACTCCCACTATTATCTGCTGTAGAAGGGCAAGGGTGAAATTTTGAATTTAAAAAGAATTCCAGGCCGGGCGTGGTGGCTCACACCTGTAATCCCTGCACTTTGGGAGGCCGAGGTGGGTGATCACCTGAGATCAGGAGTTCAAGAGCAGCCTGACCAACATGGTGAAACCCCATCTTTACTAAAAGTACAAAAAACATTCGCCAGGTGTGGTGGCGGGCGCCTGTAATCCTGGCTACTCAGGAGGCTGAGGCAGGAGAATCGGTTGAGCCCAGGAGGCAGAAGTTGTAGTGAGCTGAGATCAC